TCGTTTTGCTTTTTCCATAAAAACACCAATTTCATGTGTTCTTTTACGCGGTAGAGCCACGTTACAACTATATTATGGTTGTCGCACGAATGGCTCGCATCGACCGGGGTAGGACCACGCTCTCACGGAATACTAGCGTAAAATAGCAGCTTAACGCTGCTGTTTCGTATGGTGAGTGTAGAGAACCGGAGACCCTTTTTACTGGAAACGAGGCATTCCATCTTAGTCCTCAGGGGTGAACACATTCTACATTTGTATGCTTAATTGACGATAAATGTAGATATCTATGGGCTACAGCATTCATTTAACTACCATCAAGTGGAATGTATACTCGTTTGTTACCCTATACTATAAAAAAAAATCTAATGTAAGTCCTAATATCCTAATATCTTTAAGAAAAGTAATAGTAATGAAAATGACACATTTAACAACAAAAATGCCAAACTCGTCGAAAATGATGGGTAAATAGAAGTCGCCTATTTTTTTTTTTTTGCTATTATATCACAAACAGTGGCGTAGCCGGAGATGGGAAAGGGGCAATTTTAGGGTAGACATTTTGCAGCAATGCCAATAAAATATCTAAAATATTTTTAGTTAGTTCATACTGCTGCTATATTATTGTTGTATTTATTATTTGAAATAACATGCAAAAACTGGACTTTTACAGTTTTCATATCCTTAAGATACTGCAATTATGAGCTGAATGGGGTACGGAGCATTACGTTTTGCTCAGGGTTTCCCTGGGCGACAACAACCGCGGCGTATTGTATGGGTCGCAAACATTAAATTGTGTAATACGTACTATTATTTATTCTGTGGTAATACAGCGTAATCTGTTCGGGTAATATTACAAAACTAATAACTCCGTAGCATCACCGAAGTTATCTTATTGAGCGTAATTTATCCAAACAGTTATAAAACATTTCGCTCGCTAACCTCGCATGTGTTTACTTTGATAGTGCTATGAGTAAACCAACCTAACAGTGAATCTTATTATCTAATTAAATGTGTTTTCTTAGCAAATTTCCACTGATAAAATATAAAAAAAAATAATTATCAGCTCCTGTATGTGCCATGTCTCATCGTACGGCATAGACCGTTCTTAATATTCAAACTAAGTTGAAATCTATACTCGATATTCAGGAACTAGTTAATGTCGACACCGTTTCAGACATATAACGTCACCCTGTCTTACTCCTCTATCTAGTTGGATAAGGTTCCGCACTTGAGTAACCATCGTAACCCTACTGTACAAACACTTCAGGGTTTTCGACTCGACCGACAGTCAACTTGGTACTGTTGAATAGACTGTAGCAACTCCCAAATTTCATGTACCACCCAAATTATTTATTTCATTTACTATCTTTTGCATGTCTATAGTTTTTGTTGCTTTTACAATGCAATACAATAACTTTATTTCAGGCCTTAACCTAAAAATATATATGAAACATAAACATAACACTATTTAGGGAACTTTCTTCTTTGGCGTGTCCCTGTTTCGGTGAAACACTAGTACTACCCAAGAGGGCTAGAAATCGGGAGCGAGGAATGTCTCTTTGTATCATTGAGTTATATGTACTACGTACTACAGAAGCCATTCGCAACAAAAATTGTGTCCTACTCTATGTATTCGCGCATGCGCGGGAGTAGTAGTCGCGCATACGCGAAGGCTTTAATTTGATATAAAATAAGATATTAATATAAAATTAATATAAGGATTTAATATAAAATATCTTAATTTAATCTAAATAAACATATTTCTAAATAAAATGTTATAATAATTATTTTATGGAATTCACAAATCTTCCATTTACCCAATATTTAGTTTGTATGGATTGCTCTACAGTTCAGTTGAACATAGTCAATGTTCGGAATGGCTTCTCTAGTACGTAGTACATATAACTCAATGCTTTGTATGTATTTTGCAGGAACTTTGAGTACGTAGGATTTACAGTTAGCATCGAACAAATAATCATTATTGATGAACGCCATAACAGCATATTATGTACATTCTATCTAAGTAGAGATTATAAATAATTCATTTTTAATTATGCTTAGGGACACTTTGTTTCTTTCGTCCCGCACTTATCATTCATCAGAGTATAAAGCTATCATCTGTAAACGCTGAAGTGACTGAAATGGATAACAGAACTGAAACGGGTAACACGATTTCTTAAAAAGATAACAAAATCTACATTGATTTTTTTTTCTGAAGTGACTACAATAGAATTCGTTGGGACAAGTAACTGTGATTTTCAACAAGAACAAAATAATCAAAGACGACTTATACCTAGCTGCCAGGTTTTAAATAGGCACGCAACACAGGCGCGGCACAAAACATAAAATTTATTTGAATCTAAAGCTTGGTGGAAATAAAAGCAAAAGATCGCCGATCGTGCGTTGTTACCCGACACAGCGCAACAAGACGCCACTATTTTTGTCTCATGTGTATGCATAAATAAATAGATATGAAGAATATGAACTGTCAAAAATTTACGACCAAACATAAAAAAATAGATGCGTCGTGTTTATTTTTATTGAATAAGGATAACAAACGAGCACACAGTCTACCTGATGGTAAGTGGTTGCAAAATGCAGATGCGTTGTCACTCGTGAGGACTGAGATGGAATCTATGTAGTTTCTAGTAAAAAAGGGTCTCCCGTTTTCTACACTCACTATATGCATGATGCACGACCACGTTTCAGAATTTTTGTTTGTACCGCTATGACGTAGGGACCTTAAAAATAAGAGTCTACTGCCTCTTAAATGGTTGGCAGTACATCTGCAATTCATCCGGTGATGCAGATGTTCGTGAGGGGTGGTGACTGGTGATCATTTACCATTAGGTGAGGCTCAAGCAAAAGGCTCGTTTTCCTTCTCTTCTAAAAGAAAACGTATTTATGTTTATTGTAGTTATACACGTAGTTCTTTACGTGGTAGAGCCATGCTGCAGCTATATTTCTGGTATAGTTGTAAAACGAATGGGTCGGCTCGACCGGGGTGGGACCACGCTCTCACAGAATACCAGCGTAAAATAGCAGCTTAATGCTTCTGTGTTTCGTATGGTAAGTGTAGAGAACCGGAGACCCTTTTTACTGGGAATGAGGCATTCCATCTTAGTCCTCACGGGTGACAACGCATCTGCATTTTGATTCGTAATCGAGAATAAATGTAGATGTCTATGGGCCACAGCAACCACTTACCTACACGTGGACTGTGTGCTCGTTTGTCATCCAATCCAATAAAAAAAAAATCTAAGGACGTGGTCCCTCCCCGATCGAGCCAAACCATTCCTGCTACAACGATAATATAACTACAACGTGGCTCCAACCACGACAAAATTCTATAAATATAATAAGATAGAGAAGAAGACACAACTACGAATGTACCGCGAATGACGGTCGATGTTGTAAGCAAAATCGTGAAGAAAGCTTGAGCTTGCAAAACTAACAGTCTCAGCTCAAGGTTTTGTAATGAAAGGATACTGTAGGGATTTTCGTAACATTGCTACTGTAAATAATGATAGGTTACGACTGACTGATACATTAATAGTTTACTTACCTACGTCTATCCATTAATTGCGGCTAAACTAATATTTGATGACCACTAATCGAAAACATGTAAGGCGCTGTGCAAACCTAGACACTTTTGTGTCTTGTGCGGGATACCAATGAATATTTTTTTTCTTTTCATGTAATCAATATGAAATCAGCCATTGCTTGCACAGACGCAGACACTTTTTGTGTCCAGTTGCTTGCACTGGACACACACGACCTCCAATCAAAAAGTGTTCGGTGTAGGTATCAGGAAAGTCGTCAGTTGAAAACACAAGCAACACAAAGCAAATTTTCTTACAATTGTACGGCGCTGACATTGACGTGGTTGATTTACCTGTAAATATTGACGGCGACGACGTCTACGTCAACGTGTAATCAACACAACAAGCAAAGATAATGTTCCTCACAAAACAAGCAACTGATTGTTACTAGTGTGCAGAAGTAGCAACAGGCGACTGTGTCCGATTGCCGCTACCAGACACAGCAACTACGGTTGCCTGTGAATGTGTGCCGTGTAGGTAACAAAAAGTGTCCACGTTTGCGCAGCGCCTAACATCATTATAGCGTCATCTTAATCAATACGAAAATAAACCACTGCTGGATATGAGCCTCCTTCATAGTTGTGGAATTTACTACGTCCGCAAAATCTTACTGTATGAATAAAATAACCATCATCATCATCATTGTCTATCATAATGCACTGCTAGACATATATTTTTATAAGTGGTAGTGGTAGGGCAATAATGCAGCTATAATATTATGGTACGGTTGAATGGGTCGACTCGATCGTGGTAAGACCTCGCTCTTACAGAATACCAACGTGAAAAAGTAACTTTATACCGCTGTTTTTCTGATAGTGAGTGTAAACACCCTTTGAAAACGAGGCATTCCATCTTAGTCCTCGAGGATGACAACGTATCTGCATTTTAACTGAGGATAGATGTAGATGTCTATGGCCATGAGTATCCACTTGCCATCAGGCGGACTGTTGCTCGTTTGTTACCCTTATTCCATAAAAAAAATATTAGGCTTTCCCATAGATTGCCTCATATGGGGGATGTTTGTCATTGTTACTACGATTGCCAACAGCAATTTTTTCTTAAATTCCTATCAGCAAGATGCTGCTATCCATCACTTGTTTCAGCTGTAACGTTTACAGCATGAGAGCAACTCTGGTTTCGATCCCCGCCGGAACAAATGAAATTGTAAATTGCAACTTTAAGTACTGATTTACTATTTCGTCGAATAGAAAAACATTGTGAGGAGACCTGCATGTCCGGGGTCTGAAACGTTTTGAGAACCTTTGGCCGCCAACACGCACTGGAACTGTATTAAGATGAGAAGATAGTCATATGAAGCTATAAACGCCAAATGCCTGGCAGCATTAACCATACAAAAAAATAGAGACTGGATCAGCGCAAGAGACAAGTTACTCCAAAAACCTCTAAGTAATGAGAGAATGCCCAAGTGCAGCGATGGATCATATGTATATAAATTGTAGGTTCACTTTTACGTTTGGTACATATCATATTGTATTGACAAAATAACTAACAGTCCACTTGATGATTAGTATGTCGAGGGCCATACTCGGGGTTTCGTTGCGAGATAAACTTAGATATGAGAATAACCACAGTAGAACCAGAGTAGCCGACATAGCCCAACGGATTAGTAACTGAAGTGGCAATCGGCCGGCCATATAGCTCGAAGAACCGACTACCGATGGGGAAGAAATTTTCTCGAGTGGCAACCTCGTACCGGTAAACGAAGTATGTCGGATGCAGGTGGCTTAGGACAGTGCTATGTGACATTCCTTGGGGGAGACTAAGTTCAGCAGTAGACTTGCAAAGAGCTAATCATGATGATGGCGAGAGAGGTGTCTCAGGATTGTGCACAATGGAAGTCTGTAGTCTTTGTCAACCCCAATAAGTAACAATTATAACTATGATGAAAACCGTATACTCGCAAAGATGTTATCAGTTATCATCACATGAATAACAAACAGTAGGTACTATGTTGTCAATGTAATTAATTGGGCTTACCACAATACATATAATTTAATTCATAATAAAACCGTTTTATAAATTATACTGGTTTTGCATATGATAACCGACTTTCATGGAATAAATTGTATACTAGGTGCAGAAGCTTCCAAATTTTAGTTCCAAATACGCTCACGGAGCGCTGTTCAAATTCCCATACAAAATTTTACTGAAACTAAACTGTCTCGTAAACTGTACTATAGAGCAAAATGTTCGTGCTCGGGGTACAGATTGCCGCTAAAAGAGACGGACGCTTGCGATGCAGCTTTTTTCATCGGCATCCAAAAGCTTATTCATTTCTTCTCTGATTAGAAAAACCTGATTTTGAAACGCTAGCAGATTTTTTAAAAGAGACGTTAATCGCAAACGTTGTAAAACCCTATTTTTTACGTCGATAATTAAAAAATTTTTTTTTAAAGTGAAAACTTCTTTAGGAACGTTGGTCACTTTTGGGATGGGGAAAAAGCGCTCAACTCGCGTCTCCGTTATATACCTGAAGCGTGGCTCTACCACGTATATGACATAAACAGGGTTTTAGTTTTGAATATCAAAACGATGTCATGTGATTAATAAACATTTAAATCAATACATTATACACATTAAAATTATACCTGTATCCTAGAATACAACTCGTTTGTTGTTTTAATTAATAATTAAGTTAGTCGTAGAATATGTTTAATAATCTTATCAACAGAGTTAACAGCCAAAACAATTATTTGCATGTCATATGAGTACTTATTTCGTATGGGAACCAAAACCTCAGCCCGAGTCGTCACATACACTACGAGTAGAATTAAATTTTTTTGATAAATATAAAAACCAAGATGAAAGAACTAAAAAATAAATTATTAGCACGTAATCTAATATCTTCTGAAGTTGATACTAAAACATAGTGTATCAAATAATTTTAGTATAAAACCTTGCACATAGAATAATGGATAATGATGTAAATTACCCAGCGGGACAATTTGTCATGATGAATTTATATCGGTTTCATTAGTATTTCTATCTAGATTTAAAAATATCAAGAGCAATCTAAACAGACTCTTCATTTAATAATCTGTGACTAAATGAATAACCTTTTCAAAAATGCGCCAACTGGTATTGTATAAATTGAAAGGTTTGCCTATAAGCATCACACTGGTCAGGTGACTTGGTACATTAATATGATAGGTACCCCGGCACAGGCTATAACACTCCTTGATTTGGGTTAGATATTTTTGATTCTTTTATCGCTTGCCAGAACCTCTTTCGTAAATTAGCGTAATAATCGTAACTATGATGACCTGCGTGCAGGCGGGATTGGTATTATTTTAAAAACTGAAGTTTTTTTTTCTTTTTTCTTTTTTTTTTTATAGGATAAGGGTGACAAACGAGCACACAGTCCACCTGATGGTAAGTGGTTGCTGCGGCCCATAGACATCTACATCTATCCTCTGTTACAAATCAAAATGTAGATGCGTTGTCACCCATGAAGACTTAGATGGAATGCCTCATTTCGAGTAAAAAGGGCCTCCGGCCACCTGCACTCACAAAGCGAAACGCAGAGGTAAACCTCTACTTCACGCTGGCTGACAAATAAACTTACAGTAAACTGACGGTAAGTCATTCCTGCAGTCCATGGACACCTGCAGCCAACGTCAAGCAAAGAAGGCTACAGGTGTATTATCACCCTCGAGGACCAAGATGGAATGCGTCAGCCTGTAATTATGCTGTCTTTCTATACCCTTTGGACTAGAATACAGCAGTGCGCGGAAATAGGTAGGAGTCTACCCAGACGAGGTTCTAGGCAGAAAGTGTGTCATACCAACTAGCATTACGCCACCAGCAATATCTATCATAGCATACTTAGACCACTAAAAGAGTTAGAACGTGCACAGATTCATACAACTATTGTCTTAACTAATTTGTTAAGTGGTACAGCCATGCTGCAGCTATATTAGTAGTATAGTTGTAGCACGAATGGGTGGGCTCCACCGGGGAAGGGCCACGCTCTCACAGAATACCAGCGTCAAATAGCAGCTTAACACTGCTGTGTTTCGTATGGTGAGTGTAGAGAACCGGAGACCCTTTTTACTGGAAATGAGGCATTCCATCTTAGTCCTCACAGGTGACAACGCATCTGCATTTTGATTATTTATTGAGGATAGATGTGGATGTCTATGGGTCACAGTAACCACTTACCATCAGGTGGACTGTGTGCTCGTTTGTCACCCTATCCTTTAAAAAAAATAGAACCACAACACTATCTTAGCACTAGTAGAATGACAACACTCGTAGAATGACTTAAGTGGAATCTCTCGCGCACGGCACCTACAGTGAACTTTATACTGCATAAACAAGTGGGGGTTTCTCAATGTACCCTCAATTCAATCCAATCTGTATTTTATATATCTTTATATATAAAAATTACGTGTCACGTTGTTTGTCCGCGATGTTTCTCCTAAACTACTCAACTGATTTCAATGAAATTGTGCGCACTGTGTGCATTTTGGTCCAACTTGAGAGTTAGTTTTTATCCCGATAAATGACCCTCAAAATTTTTATTGCTAATTTAAGGATTTTTATAGGAAGGGTCATTGGAAAGGGCAGAACAACGTCTGCCTGGCGAGCTAGTATATATATATATATATATATATATATATATATATATATATATATATATATATATATATATATATATATGTTACAGCCTCTATCGGGTGGAATTTGGATAAAAGCTGACCTAGATAATTATTAGTGAATTAATGATAGTCTTAACTCTCTCTCTTTCACTATCTTAATATATATTTACACAAAACCGGGTTGGATTGTTATGATATATTATGCAAAGATAACGAAGAATATCCAAATATGCGGTGAAATATTGGTAGCCCTATTTTATAAGCGTTTGTGGCAGAATTAGAATTCGCGTATTGGCGTTACATGCAGTGCTCGGTGTTCACGGACAGGCGCGCACGCCTCTTTGCGCTTCAGCTTTAAAGTGGAAAACGAAAACACGTATTTTTTAAAACAGAGTTTAAAACAAGTTAATGGTTTTTGTGTAAGTGTATTAACGTGTGATGACATTGCCGAAATTTTTCACGATTGGTGAGTATTTTTTTTTTTTTTAATTAAAGAGGCTAAGGCTCTGCAGCGTTTGTTTTCCTGTTTTCTTGTATTCGAGCAGTGTTGTCAAGTTAGGCAATCTTTCGCCATGCAGACTACACCGAAGAGTCGAAGTGACCAAAAATTGTGATTAGTGACTGGTCGCAAATTAGTCATCTCTCTAATTATCTGACTTTAAATTTAAGCGTTATAAGAAGAAAAAAATGCTTAAAAAATTGGGTTACTCTGGGCTACTTTGTACCCAATTTTTGGCGACTTGGACTAAGCTAGACTAGGCAACACTGCTTTCTTGTGGGTTCCGTTACAGCCTATAAAAGTCCACTGATGAACATATGCCTCCCCTAACCCCCATATGTATATGTTTGTCTTATAGGGCATTGGCATTTGCCATAGTTGTCACGCTTGGCAAGCGAGTTGGCAATCGTATTTTTTCAGTCGATGTAAAGACTGACTGCATATCTCTTGATTTGTATCCCTCTGTCGCCTCTTACAACACCCACGGGACGATGTGTTATAGTGGATATTCTTACACATTCTTACACCGCCGCTACACATTCAAATGTATAATAAAATATTTTTCAGTATATTTTACCGATATAATATGGTGATGTTCTCTCGAAGATAAAATAATAAAACTCAATAATTTTAAATCCTGCGTCGGTGTTTCATTAATGGCGTCTCCAAGAAATATGCAGTTTGTGATCATATCTAACCTAGACTACCCCCGACATAACATCAGATTTGATAGACCACTAATCCTCACGAAAGAACATAGATTCCTACCAATGGTTATACGTGAGGCTATCGAAATTAAATAACATCCTAATTTTAATAGAGAAGCAGACTGGGCACTTCCACTTGCTTGGAATCCTGTAATTAATAAAATTAAAATTAAACCCAAGCATACCACCGCAAGACTTCAAGACACAGTTAAGCTCACACCCGAAACCCGAAACGTTGGGAATTAAAAATAAGTAAATTAAGCGCGATACAATCCGTAAAAATAGTTTTACCAATGTGTACTGTTTGGGTAAATATAAGAAATCATCATTCAATAATTTTTCTATGTTTTTTAATACTTTTAATAGAATTCAAATTGAAAAAAAAAATATTCAAATTTTACGCATGCATAAACATGTGTTTTTGTTTTACAAAAATAATAGGATGGATGACATCATAATACTTTAAATGAATAATTATTGTATATATGGATATTTATATATAACTACCGATCCGCCGCGGCATCGCACGGGTGATTTCTAGATCTCTACAACAGCGCCACCTAACGGGTCCAGTTGGGAAATCTAAACCATCCAAGAACCCATTCAAACACACACAAAAAATTTCATCGAAATCGGTGCAGCTGACAATTCACTGACAAA